CCAGTGCTGCATCAGGCATATACTAGAAAATATTTTCATAGACCAATCCACACACGGTGGAGGATGTGATCAACACCACGCCGACCATATTTCATCATTACTTCCCAGGACATATCCAATTTCAGCTGTGCTGACCTGGGAGCCATAAGTCAATTCCGAAGAAAGAAAAAATGTCTCAATGCAGATTGGAAACCAAGAGAAGGTTTGGTTTGGTTTATACAACAGAACAACATCATGGTACAAGGGTAGTAACCCATAAGTGATATGCTCTACTTCTAACTCAAGCCTGAGTCTGAAGAATCTCAGCGCAATACACAAACTTCATAGCGCTGGCGAGGATCCTGAAATACTTTGGCTAGATTTTAAACTCCAAATTTTGCCCAGGCAGCACCGTTAGGCTACTCTTTTTCGATTTCCAACTGAAAAGGGATTTTTTACACGTGGAACATTAAACATGGGTGTCTGATCTTATTACTCAGAGACCGGGAAAAATTATTAGAAGTTTGCGTGAAAAAAATCTCAGCCTGAACCTGGGACCTCCAGATGCAGATGCCATGCCCTGAGACCACTCAGCCCCCTCCAAGACTAGGTAAAACTAGCTAGCTCCCTTTTCCTTGATTATTTTGGCTTTATTCCTAACCTATATACCAGGTTCTCTGAGTAAGAAATGAAGTTACAATGAAAACACACAAAAACTGGGAGAAACACATGTAACACAGAATCACAATAAACTTTACAGGAAAAATCACGCTGATTATTTACCTGAGCTTCATAAGCTCTCAAATGATGTGCCAAAGCTTGGGTGGCTGCGCAAAGCTCATTCTGTGGAGAACAAACATCCAGGAGAGAGAATGTTCAAATCTGTTCATAATAATTGAGTTTTAGTAGTGTAGTGGTTTGAACACCGGCTTACCAACACTATATTGTAAGCTTAAAGCTTTTGCCTCGAGAAGCTGAAAAATTGACACTTTTGGTTGGGTCAAATTTCCCATAAATGTTACTTTTCCAACTTGTCTACAGTGACCTGTTTATGGGATGAATAGTTAATGCTATTGGCTGCTTGTGCATCTGCACAAGCACTTAGGAGGTCAAGATATGGATACATTAACAAACACCAATATTTGGGAAGGGGGAAGAGGGTAGCACTTTGAGCTAAATGGCTTTTTAAAAGCCATATTGATGTCAGATTTCCCATACGCCTCTGTAATAAAGGTCATAGTATGAGTCACTTAATATATTTGTGGTTTTTAAGGCTCAGGGAAATGTATTTAATTTAATGCTTTACCTTGTTCATGTTTACTGTATACTCCTTTTACATTTTTAACATTAAAAAAAAAAATTATTTGTGACCTGTATTTAAAAAAAACAAAAAAAAAAACCATTTAACATGTTTGTTCTAGAATTCTAAAGAGGTCACTCCTTTAAAAAAAAAAAAATGTGTTTTAGTGTTTCTTGGATGAAAGGATTATATGCCTAATATTGGTAGGGTTGATACAAGGCAATACACTTTTGGGTTAATCCAGCCCCAAGGGAGCCACATTGAAAGAGAAGCTATGGGGGACTGGTGGCGACCTTAAACGCACAATCCTATTTGTGACCCAGACGGGACTCAATGTTTAGCATGACTGATGTCAAACGCAGAAGAAGAAATCCAGCTCCATGAAAAAAGTGGGACAGAGTTCTCCAGGAGAGTAAAGGTAGTTTTCTTACCAGATCACACTGTACTAACAACTGCATTTGATTTTCAATGTTTGCATTAATGATGAACCTGCTACAGCCATACTGTCATTCATATATACTTTAGTTCTCAGCAAAAGTATTAAAACAAAAATTACACTGAGAAAGAAAATGTAAAACTTGATCAGCAGCAAAAGATTTAAAAAAAAAAAAAGATAACCGTCTATTGCTCTAATTATACAATTTCTTGTGTGTGTGTGTGGTGTAGGGTATGGAAGTGGTATGGGGCGGGCAATATTTTTAATTTCTAGCCCCCAGTATTTAGGGCCAAAGAGGAGGCATTAATTTTTGTCTTGAACAGAAAAAATTTTTTTAGAAAACATTAATTTGTGCCCTTGACCAAAAAATAAAAAAATTATAAAGGAGACATTAATTTTTTTTTTCTGACCGAAAAACAAAATTATATGGCAGATATTAATGTTGCCCACGACAGGAAAAATTAGATAATTTTCCAGGTTTTGATCCTGTCTCTGAAATGAGAGCCCAGCTTTTTAACCACTCAGCCAGACACTTCTCTGAAGAGCATATTTATTCACTGATTCAATGACCTATTGTGCCGTACATGTTACATATGGCTACATCTATTTCTCCATTCCTTTCTATCATGTGCAATCTCTTTGATACCAAGGATGAAATCAGTCCAGCACCTTTGGCTTCTTTTTGTATCGTTCATTTTAGAGTTTACTTCAGATGTTATCACTTTCTCAATCTCTTTATTTCCCATTAAGTGCCTGTTTGGTGTTTCACTGCTCGTTTGTTCTCATGATGGCAAGCTTCACTGGGAAGGTCACGGTAGAGAGCATACTTTGGATCTTTTCTCAGTCTATGCCGGCTTAGTGGGTAATGAACAGGTAGACAGATTGGCTGGATCTGCATCATTAAGTGGTGAATTGATACATGACAAGGCAGATATGGTCAAGGCCCTTTAGAAACAAGCAACAGAATTAGTAGAGAAACAAGATTATTATGGCCTGGGGAGAATGGGGCACCTGGATGTAACCAGAGGGTCTGGCAGCTCACTACATTCAGAGGAAAGGCAAGACGGACATATTACTAGATTGTGACCGGTACCATCAGTATTGCAACTCTGCGCTGGCTGCTGAAGATAAAGATGAAGCACAGATGGGAATGCCCCGAGTGCTGTGATGTCAATTCTTGACTCAACTCAACTCAGTTTGTTCTCAGGACGTGTCCAATATAATTCCATCTTCTTTGTCTTATAATTGTTGTAACCAGTAGTTGTCCAGAAATTGTTTTACCCCTCTTGAATTCATCCTATTTTATTTTCAACATTTCCCTCAGGTATCTGTTGTAAATGCATTTAACTTGTGTTTCATGTCTTTAGTGTGAAGATCATATACATAAATAAATATATATTTCCTGTGTGGGTTCCGGGTCCCATTGTGGGGAAAACAAAAATAGACCCACTGCTTCCCCAACAATCATGTTGCAAGGGGAGGGGCTTCCTTCAAAGCTGGAGTGCATCTGCCTGAGGGGGCAAAGAACCAACAGTCTGCATACAAATCAGCAAGATCTGTAAAATGAATGCACTTGCAAAACTCAGGTCCTGCATGTTGACTTAGGAATCAACATCACAGCACTCGGGACACTCCCATAAGTGGTCAGTCCCTCATCTTCAACAGCATGTGAAGAGTTCCAATTCCATTGGTACTAGTAACCGTCTTATTGTATATCTGTCTCATCCTTTCCCTGAGTGTTGAGCATCGGCTAGATCCCCTGATAACTTCTTGCAGCGCCATTCTCCTCAGACCATAATGATCTATGTGCGCCTCTGTACTGTTCACCCATTCCCAAAGGGCCTCACAATATCTAACTTGTCATACATCAATTCTCCAACAAGTGGTGCAGAGCCAGTCAGTCTATCTGCCTGCTCATTTCATAAAATGCCAGCATGACCTGGAGAAAATATCCAACGAATGCTAACTACCCAGGACCTTTGAAGTAATGCTTGCCACTCTGCACGAAGCATGCCTGTTTTCACCTTTCTCAACATGCTCTGTGAGTCAGTTACAATCACGGCATGTGTGTATGGCTGATTCTCAAGCCTGCAAAAAAGCCAAAATCCAGACATGGATGAACAATCATATCTTTCCCCTGGGGTTTACAGCTGGTGAACACAAACAACAACAATAAGTGTATGTATGTTAACTTATGTGCTATTACCTGAGCTGACATTATTCTCTGACAACAGTTATGCATGTTCTGAGTGAACTTCTTTAGCAGCATTGTGTCTTTTTCAAACACCGAAAGAAGATGGCGAGTCTGAAAAGGTAATCACAAACATATATAGAATGGAGAAACTTTTGACTAAAATTAGACTAATTAAATGCTATCTCAACCAGAAAGTTAGTTAGTTAGTTAATTGACAGATTATCCTCACTGCATATTGGACAAGTCCATATGCACTCAGATCCCATCTTCAGTATATCCCTCAGCATGTGACTGATAAAACAAGTTCTTTGTTGGTTTTATTATTCTTCATTAGCTACCTGTATAGTGCTTATGAAACCTTTTCCTATTGTTGTCTTTTGCCCTGGGTGGACACACTCTCAGACTGCTGTTGGTCCATCTTTTGATGTTATTCCCCAGCTTGATAATAATGTGACACTCAATTCAAAGGCTGTAATAAACCTAATCATATTGTGACAATCATGATGAAATTGTAATACATCCTTTCATACTGTGACAATCATGACATAGACTTAATACACATGATTACCTTGTGACAATCATGAAAAAAGAAAACAAAGACTATAATACCAATCATGGCAAAGACTGTAATACTCATGATCTTGTGACAATCATGACAAAGGCACAAGTTGAGTGATGTGGTCAGCATTATGCCGGCTGCTTTTACTTCCCAGGACTGCACCTGGTACCCACTCGAGGCTAGGTCAACCTGAGAGTCAAGGTCATTTTTGAAAACAGTCTGGCTCCGCCAGAGAGAGCGAACCCAGGACCTTGCAATCTGCACGCGAGCGTCCAGCCGCTACGCCACGTCGACTCTCATTTTAAGAAAGGGTGCATACATCTTAACATAGTTAGAAATTTGTGACAAAAGACATAAAACATCTTTCTTATTATACACGGAATGGTGACAGCAATTATGACGCTTAACCCCCCCCCCCCCCCCCACACACCCCCTTTTTTTTTTACATAAAATAAACATATACTTGCTGCCACTTTACCTGAGGGCTATCTTCCAGTGCATCCTCCAGATGCAGTTGTTCCACGTCAGGCATGGCGACCTGTATCCAATTAGTATTTGCAAAATAACAAAAAGGTACAAACTTCTCTCAGCCCTTAGGAAGTTGGTTAAATTTGATTAAACCGTAGTCACTCTGACAACTATATCACACACCCTCGATCAGATCTCGGCAGTCTCGGCTACCATTGCCTGGTAAGAAATTGAAATCTTAAAAAACTTCAATCGATCTTTCTCTGTATTTACCATGCTACCTTTTATTTATTTATTTATTTAAATGAACTGTTTTTATTTACTCACAATAATAGTTTTGCTAACAACGATGTGTTTAACCCCTACCCCACCCCGTCTTTTTCACACGCACACACTAAACCTAACAGCTGGGGAAATTGTAGTAATTGATTTTGACTTAATAAACGACTTTTTTTCAGATTAGCTGGCATATAACGGAACCAAATTCCAATTGTCTCATAAATCCATTTGCGTAATAAATATTCGAAGTCATAGAAAAGGCAACATACTACATAAATCTATTTTTAAAAATCAAAGTGCGTTTTTTTTAATGGTTGAAAACTAATTAAATTAACAATTACAACTGTACTGCATAAATAATAGAACAAGTATTCAAGCAGTCTGGAGCTTTTTGCTGACTGATATAAATTAAACACATTTCTTTCATTGAAACACTTTTTCCTTTCTTCCTAGTTACTTTATGAAAATGTTAGTGGATTAAGGATCGCCTATGTGCTCTTTCTAGTAAGTTATATAAATTGGTTTTCATCCCTTTTTTAATTTATGGTTGTTTTTGACGGGAGCGCATCGCGCGCGTACTTCCAAGCGTATGCACACCACACACTAAGTGTATATATCCTATAATAAAAATAATTCTTGATCAACTCCATTAGTCAGAAACAATTTACCTGGTAGAAATCTAGTCGTTTGCACTTTTCTTGATTAAATAAGGCACATAACCGTGTATAATTTGTTAATTTCAAGTTCTATAATAGTGTGAAATCTTTGATGTTCACTCAAGAAACATTAATCTTTTCAGGGATTAAAGATTTGTCTATAAAGAATATATGCCAAAAACACAAAAAGGACCTTCACTTATTTACCATTTTTATTTGACCCAGCCTTAAATGGCTACCTGATTTTTAAAAAAGTCCTGGAAGCATAGGCGGCTGACGACGCTAAGCGACGAATGTTGATTGTTATATTAAATAAGGGTCTAATCTTATATATCAAATATCGAAGGCATAGAAAAAGGTCCTTTCCATTTATTTATTTACCAAGTGCTAAATGAGCAACTTAGTAGAAAATACTATTTATTTATAAAGTCAGTTATGGTATTACGAGCTGCTGTGTGTGTGTTTTGTAAACACGGACTGGCTATCAGACATTTGTGACTCAACAAACTCAGTGTGAATATTAGAGAAAGAGACAATCTACATTCTTTGGTCATGTAACGAAAAAGAGAATACTGGAGTACATCGTAACAGTAGGAGGGGAGGAGAAGCAGAAGCAGACTGAAAGAGAAAATATTGCTGGACAGCTTGACAGCATGGCATGTAGGATCATCTGTAACAGAGTTGATTGAAACAACACGAGACAGAAGGTTGTGGATATGCATGACTACCAATGCCACAGGTAATATAGGAATACAAATAAAATAAAGGACCGTGTTTGCGACTCTGCAAAAATATGATGCTAGACACATATTTGAAAGGACCAAATGGAACTCAGGGCTTTAATTTTCCTTTACATTTCTAGGTCTCATTTTAGGTGTGGTCAAACTGGGAGCCTCAGTCATGTTTTGTTATATACACAGGTGTGGACCCCAAGCCACTACCTTCGGGCCGAGAGATAAGAGTGTAGCCACTGCGACATTCTGTAAGTGGAGAATGAGCAGTGGGTGGTGAATAGGAGAGACAATTAGACACGAGATGAGAAAGACTCTACGGCAAAGAGAAGGCCGACTTGTCGTCAGTCAGTTGATTGTCCTTGCTCGAGTTAGGGATGAATAGTAAAAGATCAAAATTTGATGAGGAGAAAAAAAAAAAGGAAAAGAAAATAATTGAATCAAGATCAATTTAAACGAACAACGATTCCAAATGATTTTGAACTTAGACATTACAGACAAGTAGTCAAGAATACCGATCACTGTGCTTTCCCGGCCTTCTCTTGTCCACATATATTCACCGTCGACAAACACGCACGCATGCTTACACACTCACCCAAAACACCCTCACACACTGCATGCACACACACACACATACACACACACACACACACACATATATATATATATATATATATATATATATATATATATATATATATATATAGAGAGAGAGAGAGAGAGAGAGAGAGAGAGAGAGAGGGGGGGAGAGCAGGGACACTTCAAAGTATTGGATAGAAAGACGTTTTCCCTATTTTGAAGCCGGCAGCTTTCTAGTCACACAAACACACACACACACACACACTTTTTTTTTTTTTTTTTTTTTTTTTTTTTGCCATTCATTATTTCACCTGGCCACTCTCTCTGTTTCTCCCTCCCTTTTTTTTTTTTTTTTTAAATCTGTTTATTGGTTCAAAACATCAGATACAAATTCTCTTTACATAAACAAAAGCAAAATCAATAAGGTGATGTGCAAAAAATGATAATGATTCGTACCGTTTCTCACCAACCTTTAACAGGAAATAGAGACCGTGGGAGGCAGAGAGGATCGGAGTTTGAGGAAAGCTGGGGCTATTGGGTTTGTTGGCGGAAACGGTACTTTCGATGGTAATGTTTTACATTTTGAGAAATATATTTATATACAACAGAAGAATGAGAGGGCACGGAAACATGGCAACATATATACAAGCGTCTGCGGTGTGCGTATTTTGTTCAGTGTACTTTACATATGTTGCCGTTTGTTAGAATTCAGTGTTGCAAGCGTGTGTGTGACATTGCGAACATAACAACAATTAAGAAATAGAAAGGGGGACGAAAACATAGTAGGCGGACGAGTGCGGGGAAGGAGGGGAAAGGGGCATAGCAGAGAAAGAAAAGGGCCACTCATTTTATTTACATTTCAGAATTAAAGACATTTGGTATTGTGACATCAAAGTATTCCACTTTAAATAAAATACATTGCAAAGATATACAACCCGATACTTGTGTTATATTTATGAGAAACAGTGAAGGAGGGAAGACTGGGGAGAGGCGTATTTACATTAGACTAACACAAGAGGACCAAAACCAGTTCAGACGACGAGAGAAATAGTCGACAAGAGAGAAAAGGAGGGGGGGGGGGAGAGCGGCGTTACTTCGCTGCCCCTCTGGCGGTAGTCAGAGAAATTGCCAATGTAAAACAAATCGTCTGCGCTTCCAACGTGGTATGGCTGTAAAGTGATATTTAAGGTAAGAGCATCACACAGGGCGATAGACACCCGGTGACACCAGGTGTCACCATACGGATGAAAATCGCCCGTCGAGGTAAAGGAACCCGAGTGTAACAGACGGGCTATAATGCGGCAACCGGCAGAAGCCGATGGGGGGCTTCAGGTTAAAGAAAAAATTTGTCCCACATGGGGGCAACATATAATCACAGACGTTTTAGAATTGGAAACATTCACAGCGCAAGAGCGTTATCGAGAGGAAGAGTCATTAGACATTGCGAAATTAAAGTATTTGCTTTAGATAAAACCATTGCAAATTACATTACAACAATGAAAAGGAACAAAAACACAGTTCAGACGGACAGGGGAAATAGTCGGTGAGAGAGTAATGTCGGGGGGGGGGGGTGTACTGGCGTTACGTAGTTGCCCTTCTGGTGGTAGTCAGAAAAGGGGCTGATGTAAACAAAGCATCTGCGCTTCCAGCGTGTTCTGTCTGTCAGGTGGTATTGAAAGTAAGTTTAAACTCACGAGAGCATCACACCGGGTGATAGACACCAAGTGTCACCATGCGGATGAGGATCGCTCGTCGAGGTCCCAGAAACCGCGTGTAACAGTCGGGCTTTATTGCGGCTATCGGCAAAAACCGATCGAGGGCTTCAAGTTAACGAAAAAAAGTCGTTCCACATGGGGGCAACACATAATCACGGACTTTTAGAATTAAAAACATTCACAGCGCATGAGGGTTATGGAAAGGAAGAGTGAAAAAGGCATCTGCGGTGTGTGTATTTTGTTCAGTGTTCTTTACATGTGTTGCCGTTTGTTAGTATTCAGTGTTGCAAGCGTGTGTGTGACATTGCGAACATTAAAAAACAAAAAACAAATAGGAAATAGAAGGGGACGAAAATATAAACAGGCGGACTAGGGCGGGGAAGGGGGGAGAGGAGGCAGAGCAGAAAGAGAAAATGACCACTCATTGTATTTGCATTTCATAATTAAAGACATTAGATATTGCGAAATTAAAGTATTTCGCTTCAAGTAAAAACATTTCAAATATATACAGACCCGATACTTGTGTTATATTTATAAAAATATGTGGGGAAGTTGAGTTCGGGGAAACCCTATTTACATTTGACAAACGTAAGCAAAAAAAAAAAAAAACCCAGTTCAGGTGGGCAAGGAAAATAGTCAATAGGAAAACAAGGGTAGGGGTAACTAGCATAACATGTCAGAAAGCAAGTGCATTTATATAGTAGTATTCACCATAGTTAAGCCATCTAGGTCTAACTATGAGTGCAAGGAGACAGATTATTAACGGGATATTCATTTCATTTATTAAGCAACCAATGCTTGACATGGACAGTTTTTACAGCCCATATACGTAAAATCACCGGCTGCGAGATGAAAGTGCCTGAGTAAAGGACTCCTCCGAGGTCCAAGGAATGGTGAAACTATCAGACTTGACCAGGAAGAAAACTGGAGACAAAACACAGTTCAGGAGGGCAAGGGAGATAGTCCAGGGAGAAAAGTGTGGGGGGGGGGGGGGTGGGGGGGATGGCGGCGCAAACTATTTGCTTTCCTGGTGGCGGTCGGAGAATATGTTAGCTGTTCGAAACTGTGGCGTTTCAAAGTGGTCACCCAACTAAGTACTAGCCA